TACAATCCAAGGTAGTGATGGGAGAAACGAATCATTTCGAAGCTTCGAATCAATTGAACCAATTGCTTCGCAAAATGGTTCACTGTTTCGAAGAGCTCGAAACACCACATGCTGGTGACGCAAGCTGGTCAAAACTGTGTAAATGCAACAAAAACTCAGATCAAAACATGCATAAAAACAGCTTTTACAAACCCAATGCAAATGCTTTCTTGAAAGTATAATATATTAAATGCAATAAAAATAATTTAAAAAGTGTATGTATAATATGCATCTTTAAAATAATTATTATTAATTTGCAAGTGCTTGTTTTGTTTGTTTTATAGAGAGCTTGTATAAACAGGCCAGTAGAGACTATTAACTACTACTCATCCTTTTAATTACACAAATGTCTCATTAAAAATGTCTACAAATTGATCTAACTGATCTGAGATCGTATAAAAACCATAGACGCTAATGCAGTGGTTCGCCGCTGCGGGGCGAGTGAACTCGCATGATTCACGGGTTCACAGAGATCGCCCCCCTAAGGCGAACTATTGAAATTTCGAAACGTTTCTGACGTAACGAAGCCTTCTTTACTGAAATCACGTGACTTTGGCATTTTGATATGCGCTCCGAACCACTGTTTCGAAACAAATGATTCGAAAGGTTTCGAAGCACAGCTCACACAGAAGTCACTTTCAAACCAAGTAGACTTTGAATCTGTGTGACCAACTGGAGCCCACTGCGAAATCTGAGTGGGGAAATATTTCACCCTTATGCCAAATTTTAGATTGCATAGATTCCTATTGAAACGACTGGATTTCAGCTTCGAAAAGTTGCCCAAGAATGGTAAATGTGAATGCACCTTAAGACTTACTGAGAAGGCAATCCCAGAATGCATTGCGAAAGCATAACACTTAAAGTTGACCATTTCATTCAGTATTTGTGTATGACTCGATTTCACCAGTGAAAATTCGCAGAACAATGGTGAATGTGACTGCACCTGTTAGCTTAGCAACATGCTAAAACGAAACTCAATTGGAACCAAGTGTGGGAGGAGTTTCTTACATTTACGCATTTTTTTTTATAAACAACTATATGTCAAAGTATATAGTGCATTTTATCAGATCATGCATTCCATGGGAATCGAACCCATAACCTTGGTGTTGCTAAGGATGCTCTACTATTTGAACTATAGGAACTTCCAGCGTACAGGAGCACTATTGGTGTGGCCTAACTATGTAAAGTGGTCCGATTCAGTCACTTGTGAGGTTTTATGACTGTTATGACTCACTAGATTGGAGATGGTCCTCACTTGCAGAACACAAGATCTAGGGGGCGTGGTTGGATCCAGATCCAACTCCTCCCATCTTACATGTACCTAAACCTACCCGTCTCCACCCCCCGATCCCTAAACCCACCCTTCTCCACCCCTAAACCTACCAATCTCCACCCCCTAGATGTGGATCCAACCACACCCCCTGGATCTTGTGTTCTGCAGTGAGGGGCTACTGCTAGATTGTGGACAGATTTACTGTGTTTTGTGCTGGAAATCTTTGGGACAGTGCAAAGACAAAACCACAAACCAGGATGTTGTGTTTTCACTTTGCAGAAAGACAATGACCAAGACCACAATGTGAGGGTTGCCATTGGAAATGGCGTACGAGCTGATGTCTGGAAAGAGTTCCTAAACCGTTTTGGACGCATTCATGTCCGAGAGCTCTATGCCGCCACAGAAGGAAATGTCGGCTTCATCAATTACACCGATAAAGTCGGAGTGGTCGGTCGTATCAATATTCTCAGCAAGGTGAGTGACGATACATATTTCTTATCAATGAGAAAGGCATTTGTGTGCAAAGTCAGCTTGATTGCCATTGTATTCCACAGGTGTTTTTCCCCTTTGCCATCATTAAGTTTGCCATTGAAAAAGAAGAGCCGGTGAGGAACACTGAGGGTCTGTGTATCCCAGTCGGAAAAGGTCAGTCAGGTGCTAATTTGGTGGGTTTTATGATATACTTCATTTTATTGCCATGTGGCATCGGTAAAGATAGTACGAGGTGTTTGTTTAGGCTAGTATTTGAGGTTTTAAGACTCCCATTGACCTTTTGTTAAAAACATTGTCATAAAAAGTTAATGTTTAACACTGAACATGTTGCATGTGCAGCTTTAGTCCTACAATTGTTGATATTAATGTTGTGTAGATGAGGTGGGCCTTCTGGTTGGGGAAATCACAAAACACACCCCTTTTGTCGGTTACGCTGGGAACAAGCAGCAGACGGTGAAGAAGAGACTCAGTGATGTGTTTGTGAAAGGAGACCTGTATTTCAACAGTGGAGATCTGCTGAGGATCGACCACGACAACTTTGTCTACTTTCATGATCGAGTTGGAGACACGTTCAGGTAGCACAGCTTTAGCTGAACCATCATTTGCACACTTAAGAGTTTCAAGCATTGCATTAACATTTGTTAATTGCAGGTGGAAAGGAGAGAATGTGGCTACAACTGAGGTGGCAGATATTCTCATGATGGTGGACTGCATTGAGGAGGCCAATGTGTATGGAGTCAAAGTTGAAGGTAGATGTTATATCTGCAAATAGCCATGATTTGAAATGTAAGAGGTTGGGAATGGAATGGGTTTCATGATGTGTAAATTCATTCCATTGATGGTTCCTGAACGTCTGCATTGATCAGTGTAGTTTTATTAATGAATGTTTCACTTCATGAGCCAGTTTATTTTAGTATCATTACATTCATTTGGCAGATGCTTTTATCGAAAGCGACTAATAATGCATTCAAGTTGCTGATTTCCTTGGAGATTGAACCCATGACTTTGGCGTTGCTAGTGCCGTGATCTACTGTTTGAGCTACAGGAAGGCTGTATTATTTGAATCTTTCTAGCAATTTGAATCCGATTCACCAATTCACACATTGGATCAAATCTGTTCATGACTTGCGAGCCACACTTACAAAATTACTTTAAGTGTGAACCCAAAATCATTCAGGATGTAGGGCTTGAGATTGAAATCAGTTCAATTACTTGTAAATAAGGAAATTTTGTAGAAATTGTTATTGTAGAAATTTTTCTACAATAAATGGTACTTTAATTAAAATAAAAAATAATAAGCTGTTAAGCCCATTCTATTCTATTTATTCTATTATAGGATAATAGAATCAATTCAGGAATAGTTCACAGAAAAATGAAAAATCTCATTTACTCACCCTCAAGTTGTTCCAAACCTGTATGAATTTCTTTCTTCTGCTGAACATTAAAAGCAGGTATTTTGCAGAATGTTGGTAACCAAATTATTTTGGTTCCCATTGACTTCCATAATATGGGAAAAAAATATTATGAAGGTCAGTGGGGACTAGAAACTGTTTGGTTACCAACATTCTTCAAAATATCTTTCTTTGTGTTCAACAGAAAGAAAGAAACTCGTACCGGTTTGGAGTGAGTAAATGATGACAGAATTTTAATTTTTGAGTGAACTCTTTTAAGGAACCAAAACATTAAATTGCTCAGCTCTCATCCATTGAAATACTGTATAGTCAAAGGATGTTGTTAATTGGATTTTCACATTAAAATCTCATGTATCTTCAGGTCATGAAGGAAGGATTGGAATGGCAGCTGTGAAACTGAAAGAGGGCAGAGAGTTTGACTGCGTCAACACATGCAGTGTTTTGGCAAACTATCTTCCAGTGTACGCCAGACCTCGATTCATCCGAATTCAGGTATGATGCCTTACCTCCGTAAATCCTGCTGGTAGACGCCATCCTCTTCTAGTGTCAGCTTGGTTCTCTGATACTCTTCGATGGCAAATTTGTCTTTCAGAATTCCTTGGAAGTCACAGGAACTTTCAAGATGAAGAAAGTGAAGCTGGTGGAGGAGGGCTTTGACCCAAACTCAATACGAGATCCTCTTTACTTTCTGGACCTGACGCAAAAGAAATACATTCCACTCTCTCAAAAAATTCACATGTCAATCATGTCGCAGGACATTAAACTGTAAAAATCCATAGAATAAGCTAACAGTACAACTTTGAAATCTACTAACCACTAATCTCAGGGAAAACAAGTGATTACAGTGAATGATTTAAAACTTTACAGACCAGTACAGTCAACTGTTTTACATTAGTACTTTACGAAGTGCGTAAACGTGTGCCTTATTACTTAACCTTTTAATAATGTTCATTTATAATCTCAACTTGTAAGAAGAGTTAAATAGAGTCTAATAAGATTGTGATACACTAAATATACTCTCAAAGCAGTGATTCTCATCTGGGTCATGGTCAGAAGAGAACATGTGAAATACAAATAAAAAACGGCAACTAACCGTGCATATCGTAGCAAAATAATTTTTAAGGCTTCCCATAGTGTATTTTGCTAAATTCAAAGGCCATGTTCAAATGCTATGGTATTTTGTAGGGCTGGGTTTTGACACAAATTTCACGATTCAATTTGATTCTCATTCACAAGCTTGCGATTAGATTCTATTCGATTCAATATCGATTATTTTGTATATATATCTGGTACACTTGCAAAATTTCCTCATTGAAAAAAAAATCTCTTAACTAATGCTGTAAAATATTTACAGTAGTCAGTAGGTACTACATTACTATAATATTGAAGTCTTTCTTTTAACTTACCTTCGGATGTTTAGTCATGATTATTTTGTGCTGAAACTGGTATTAATGTGGAGGAGATTATTAGTTCACGTGCGCCTCGCGCACCGCGTCTGTTGAACTGAGGCGCTACAGCGATCTGTCATTAAACAGCGCCAAAACGGCATTTATTGTTTGAATACTGCAATACAATAGACAGAATTTGAAATCTGAGACTTTGTTTCATATTAAAAGTACCAAAGCACAATGCTTATTGTGATATATTGGATGGGAGGTGTGCTTCGATGTTCCATCCATTAACTGAAAACAGGCTAGACTAATCGATTCTTGGGCTTTAAGAATCGATATCTTTCAGTAAAGATGAGAATCGATTGTAATCGAGATATCGATTTTTTTTTTTTAACCCAGCCCTAGTATTTTGGCTCAAATTTGTCACTCAAATTAAATTTGACAATTTAATTTAAAATTTCAATTTGAATGACATTTTTATTTACTTTAGTAAAATAATTGTGGTTCCTAGTCACCACTTGCCACAAACCATTTGAGAGCCACTGCTTTATGGGTTGAAAAGTCCTTCTGCTGACACAATGGCTTTTAAGAAAGCTGGCCGCTGGTTTTCTCAATGGTCTTGCGTCAGCTGGTCAAGAGTTTGACTCTAATCAGCTGCAGTATCTGTTTTAAGTAGGTGAAAGGGCAAGTGTACAAAATTCATGACCTCCCTTCCCATCAACCTCTGAGCTCAAAAATAAACATGTCTAAAACCACAAACCCAAATGAACCACTTTCCCTTCTGTACCCAACACAGGGGTCATTGACATCGTTTCCATTTCACAATCGTCAAGATTATCCAACACCACGTTCGTCAAAGAGTAAAAACAATTTTTACTTTAAAATTAATTTATTAATACAGTTGTATACTTAGAAATGTGCTGCAAAGAAAAAAAAAAAGAGAAAATAAAAAGAATGTCGCCACACAAAGAAAAGTAAACCCAGAATGAAGCTGCGTCGTCATATCAAAACAAATTCGTACTGATGTGCCTTAATAAACTGTCTATTAGTACAAAAATACATTTCAGGGCACACAATACAGCATCCAGTATCACAAATAAAGTCAGGGTCCAACCACCAACACGGACCCGTCTGAAGTACAGAATCCTTAAATTATTTAAACCGAGCACTTTTCTAGTTTGTAAATAATACAAGTTTCTGTAACTTTTAAAAATGCCATTACGTAGTGTTTGTATATATGTTGTTGGTATAAAAGATAACGTCCTTTTTCGTTGCATTTATTTAATTTTTTTTTTATTTGTTTCAATTTTCTCTGTACTGCTAAGGTAAATTCCAAGGCTCAGAAGTATAACTGGAATACAAACATAACCAATGTTATAGTTTTCCTTTTTTTTTCTCCGTTAAGAAACTTTTTTCCATGTTACGTTTTGATACAAAATAACAAAGATGTACAAAAGGTCATTTACAGCGAACCAAGGCCATATGCTAGCACAATATATACAGCTGTAATTGAAACATATCCTAGTGTTCTTGTATATCGTCATATGCATAGCAGTGAAAAAGCAGACCTGTTGATCAGACTTCATTATTTGTGTGCTAAATATCCCGCTTCATTATGGTGTGAGTTTTGTGTCCTTCGTAACTTCCCTCTGTAACAGAAATTCGACATTTGCTAGTCTTTCGGGTCAAAGTAACAAAAAAATGCAGATAAGGCATCACTGCTTGCAGTGTATGATGGGTAGGTTTGTGTACTCAACATAGTAGCAGGCGTTTGGACCTGAGTCATAGCACATGCATAGATCTCTAGACAGCAGGAGTTTCGGAAAACCACAGTCAATGTTTATCTACAATAAAACATCGCTAGAAAAGATCGGTTCAAAACGAGTGAGAAAGAGCCCATTTTTTTGTTTTGTTTTTTAGCCGAGGGAAGTCCATGAGCAGATGAGTGCAACAGTCACATTCCTTCAATAATCAGTTCTTCACTTCAAAAAAGTCTCAATTGTTCTTCATTTTCTAGAAACCGACATGCTTTCCAGATCCGCGACAATTCATTACAGCGTTCCACGAAAAAAACACAACCTTGCAAACAAAAAAGCTCTACATTGACTTTTCTGTTTGGGAGCACATTAGTAGGATTCACTTGTATTACGTAAAACTAATACATTTTTCCATTTATTTTTTTCCGATTCCGTTCAAGACTTCTAATTAATTAGAGTAAAATACGCTACAAATGTCAAAAATGGGGTCATTTTTCCAACTGTTGCCACAACAGTTCATGCATTCCATTAGCAGTTTGATTTCATTTGTAATTTTTTGCAAGTCTTCAAGCACCAAAAGGTAAAGAAAAAGGCAAAACCAAACTTGGGGGGAAAAAAAGAGGAAACCAAAGGGAATAGGAAAAGGAGCGCTCCATAGCACTGTGCCATCAGTGCTATTCTCAAAGATATTTTTTGGGAACGACGCTTCAGCCCATCAAAGAAAAGAGGGAAGAATTAATACTTCATAAAGTGGTGCAAATCCCTCCTCCTGAGTAGAAGAACTGGAGAAGGGTCCATGCGCGCTGACGTTCAGTAACAGACCAGCTGTTGCTCTCTTCAGAAGTGGTCGATCAGCACGGACACACAGTTGGCGCCCACCAGGTAATTGGGGTCTCCTGGTAGACACTTGTTTTGCCAGCATTTGGGGTCACCTGTGGATATTTCAACAGGAGGAACGTCAGGAGGAATATGGTATAGACACAACGTCATAATCTAAAAATTCAGATTGTTCTATTCACATTAGGGCTGCACAATTTGTGAAAAAAAAAAAATCTAATTGTGATTTTTCTGATAAATTATTATTATAATAGAAATATTAAACAAAATGAGAAATAAAAGTGCCACGCTTCACTTGGAAACATGCAGTACATATATTTTTATTTAATTAAAATCACAGCCTTTGTGATTTGGGTTTTATTTGGATTAATCATGCAGCCCTAGTTCACACTGCAGCTAAATTCAGTTGTCACTCATTTTTGGTTGCTTAATGCTGTTCTGTATACACATTCATTAATTAGGGGAGTGACAAATTAATTTGCTCCCGGAAAAACTTTCATCAAAAATAGCAATCAGGTTAATTTGTTAGCATCCACATGTCATTTACAACCACAAGATGCCACATTATCACCATGCCAACCATTGTGAGATCAGGAGTGACTCCGGTATTCATACAGACAGAACAAGAATTTGTAGGATTCAGTTTTGCAAATAAAATATGGTTTTGATTCCCTGAACCGAATAACTTTGTTTGGACATGCCCTTTTCACACTGCAGCTTAATTCAGTTGTCACTCCCCTTTTGAGCACTTAATCGAGTTCTGTTCACACACAGAGTTCTGTTGTTAATGGGTGTGAAAACCAAATTCACTCTCGAAAAAAAAAGGTTACAAATATCAAACGTAAAACAACTTCATTTGTTGGCATCCGTCTTTCATTTACACCACATTATCACCATGCTTAGATTAGCAGTGACTCCTGTATTCGTACACATAATAATTTAGTGGATTCAGTCCTGCAACTGAAATTAAATATGGTTGTCATTTCTAACATTTTCCCAGAGCAAGCCAATTACTGTTTAGACCAAGCAGCAACCTCCCGCTCTCTCTCGTGAAGCCAACAAGGAAGTGACTTAAACTGTAATTCGTCAACTGGCCGCTAGAGGCTGGCTGCAAAAGGGAGTCAATCCCATACACTCCCCATATTAAAATGCCCAATTTTACAGCAGAAAAAAACATGTTTACAGCCTGGTTCAAAAAATGATTTTGGTCTATATAGCTAATTTTGCCCTTCATGACAACTGTGAGGGGGTGAATTTTTTTATAACTCATCCGTTTAAATTATATTAAGCCTTAAAGTTCTGCATAATTAAGGGCGTGGCCACTTGAGTGACAGGTGGATTGCTGCTGCTGTCACCACCGTCGAGCTAGGTGGGCGTGGCTTCAGCAACCTGCTCCCGCCTCTTTGCCCATTTTCGATTATCCGGGAGTGAAGCATGGTGACGCGCTGCCAAAATGGCGACGGCCAGCTCCGCCTACTTTAGGCTTCAAAAACACTCTTCGGAAACCTACGGGTGACGTCACGGACACTACGTCCATGTTTTTATACAGTCTATGGTATATTTACACTAAAAACACAGGGGGAACATATCTTAAAAGATACACTAAGGTACACTAAATAACCATAATTGTCTCAAAATTAGATTAAAATAATCTGTAACAACTGCCAATTTAGCAAGGACCAAACATAAGATAATACTAGGTTTAATTAAAAAAAATAAAATAAAAAGTACCCAAACCAAGCAGGTGTTACGTCTGAATCACTTGGGTCGTTGCGTAGTCCACAAAA